GATACGATATTGCAGGGCTTGCGTTCCCTATCATAATTTCTTTGATAGAGCGTTGCTGCTCACAAGAAAGCTATTGAATCAAGAGATCCAAGTGGTGACGTTGAAATCATTCTTTCGGAAATTTTACGGACGTCATCACGAGTTGGTTGAACTTATGAAAAATCTGTTTCATAGATGACGACGAATATGTTCAAATTCTCGTAACTACAATCCCGACCTCTTTCTAACCGAATGTGACCTACAAAATTAGACTTATCACAAGGTTTGTACTAACATGAGAATCACGACGAGTGCCACATGTGGGGCATGATCTGCTTACCCTTCCGGAGCTCATGACAACAACCCCGGTTTTTGATTGGTTTCGTGTTTATCAGTCTTTTTTTTTCTATGTTGCATTTTGTATACTGTTGTTTGTGGTTTGGTCTTTTTATTTTTGCCATGGCGTTGTCAGTTATATATCGACTTGTGGGTTTGAATGTCACTTTGGTGTCCCTTTGGTGTCTGTCGGCTCTCTTTTATAAAAATATTGCTATACAATATTTCTGATCTGAATAAAAGCAAGCACATAAGCGTGAAAAAATATAAGCAAATTGGTAGTAAGATATGACTTGTTGAAAAACCTATTGCATATGTAATGACTGATGTAAAATTAAAATTCATTACTCTTATACGCATTATATGATTGATATCAACATGATGAAGGGATATAACCTGCAAGGTTAACTCTTGATCTTTATAAATCTGTGTTCTCAGACAGCTTTTTTATCTATTGTTATTGATAATTAAGAATACAGAAACATATATCTGTATTCCTATTTTTAATAACAGTTACTATAATTAAAAAAAGGTCGACAATGGTCCAGTCATACTTAAGGTTCATCTGACGTTAAGGACTGATACATATGTTCATCATGTCATTTTGCAGCGGTGAGAAAGCCGATTTTGACGGAGAAAGACATAATTATCTAAAAAGTAAAATAACACAAATATCGAACTCCAAAGAAAATTCAAAACGAAAAGTCCCTTCTCAAATGGCTAAATCAGAAGCTCAAACACATCAATCGAATGGAAAACAACTGTCATATTCCTGACTTGGTACAGGCATTTCCTTAAGAAGACAATGGTGGATTTAACATGGTTTTATAGCTAGTTAAACCTCTCACTTGTATGACAGTCGCATAAAATGTCATTATATTGACAAAAATGTGTGTACAAAACAAACAGACATAATAAGTAAACATGTCAAAAATAGGGGTACAGTAGTCAACATTGTGTGTGTTATAATATTAATCACTATAAAAATAAACAAATATGTCAACAAAGAAAAACAAAATGGCATATAGACAAAGCACATAAGCAAAGTTAAAAGGAAAGTATACAAAAATTTACCATAGCACAATATAACAATGACGGGATGTATAATTACCGAGATACGCCAAAGGGATATTACCAAACATGGACTAAACAGTAAAGGTAATAATTTACATAGACAAATAAAAGAACAGTATAACACGTAATTAAGATGATAAACAACGTAAGTACCTAGCATCTATTTTTCAAGACCATCATGTATTATATGTGAAGATGATACGGAATATTTATCAACAAGGTCTAGGTATCTTCCGATGAACATTTTTAGAAAAAGGACGAGACGTTCTTTGACATAACTCCGGTTCATCAACTTTCTGCTCAGACACTGGTGACGTTTTATAAAGTCTGAGTAGCAGCAGCAAGCTCTTGAATACCGAATGAGTTGGAAAATGTATATCCCATATGCAGCTAAAGTTGGTAAGATGCTTCTGAGGTGGGGGAAATTGATAATTTCAAAATTAAAATCGTCTCGTTTGTCACCGTTTCTGGTACTGAGATGATCGTTTATTGTTATTGATAAATAGGAATACAGAAACATATATCTGTATTTCTATTTGTCAATAACAGTTACTATAATTAAAAAATCGGAAAATACCAAGACCTTGTTGATAAATATTCCGTATCAATGCCTGTACCAAGTCAGGAATATGACAGTTGTTATCCATTCGTTTGATGTGTTTGAGTTTATGCTTTTGCCATTTGATTAGGGACTTTCCTTTTTGAATTTTCCTCGGAGTTCAGTATGTTTGTGATTTTACTTTTTTTATGTCAAATTTGATGTATAAGTCTAAAAATTAGGCGGAGGAAGCCGTGTCTGTTGTTTCGTTAATTTCTAGTTCTGGAGGATATATAATGGAACCCAATCAGAAAAGATTGGCTTGTTAATTGAAAGAACATCATCAATATATCTGAATGTAAAATTAAATGTGGCTTCCTTGATCTTCTTGTTTTTGACAAGTGTCTGCATGAACTCCGACTCATATGAAAATAAGAAGAGGTCAGCAATGAGGGGCGCACAGTTCGTTCCCACATGATATTTACTACATTTTACAACAAACAGAGTGATAGAGTTGCAGTCATAGTTAAATTTGAGTTCTCCTGACGTCAAAATATATCAATAAAGCGTCTAAGACAGTCCTATGAAACTAAAATTCTTCATTCATCAATCATAATTTGCAGAACAGTTTCTTATTTGTTCCCTTACCAAATGATTTTTTCGGGAAGTATTTTGTCAACACATGTTCAGTCTTTTTCATTTAAATGTATCTTACGCAAAATTTGTACCTGCATGTGAAATTAAATTATCTATCTGATTTGTTCTGTAAGTATCTGAATGAACTCCGAATAAAAAAAATAAGAAAAAGTGGGCAAGCAGAGGCTGACAGCTGGGTCCAAAAGGAATACCGACAACCTGCTGGAAATTGTTTTCATATTCACGACAACAAACAAATATTCAAAACAATAGTAAGAAACTGAAGATAAAGACGCTGTCTACCAATATGTTGTCTTCCTTATTCAGAAATAACGAAAATTTTGCCAAACTGCTTTTCTTTTAGCTTGAATTGAACAATTTAGATTTAAGGTTTATTGTTCATTTAGCATATATCAATACAATGTAGTCTATTTTACGCAAAATGACGTGCACATTGCAACTTTAAAATCAAATATAAAAATTGCTCGATAGCCTTACAAAATAACAGAGTAGTTATATATTTTTTTACATATTTTGTAGAAATTATTAGTTTTATCTTAATCACATTATTTTTGCAAATTGTATTAAGTATTAAAAAGGCAGAAAATACCAAGGTGTAGTTTAAAAGTCGCAAGTGGAAGAAAAATAGATCACGCCATAGCAAAAAAAAGAAAAACGTAAAATGACAACAAAAGTTCACAAAACGCTTCAACGAGAAATAAAGACTGAGCAAAACGCACCCAAACAAAAACTGGATCATCATATGCTCCAAATGGGTAAGCAGATCCTGCTCCACTAGTTACGATTGGGCTCATTTTATGATGTCACAATCAAGGAAAAGAGGACTTGATCGTGTTAGCGAACACTTGCAGATATCTGTTGTGACATGTGCCTAACATATTTCATAACGGGCAATTACTCGTGAAGGTATACGTAAAACTTTTGAAAAAGATGAATTCATCTTTAACACTAGAAATCCTTGCACTATTGCGCGAAAAAAAAAACAAATGTCCATTTTATGATTCTTAGGACTAATTATCGCAATAAATCATAGCTAAAACAATTAAAAAACTCATCAAAGATACCAGGCTTATAATGCTGTACGCCAGAAGCGCTTAACATATTGCAACTACCATAACAATGATAATTCATTTCATAACAGGGGTGCCGACTACTGGGCTTGTGATAACCTTGGGGAGAAAATCTCAACCAGCAGTGGCATCGACCCGGTGGTTGTAAATAAACTCATCAAAGATACCAGGCTTGTAAATGTGTACGTCTTCAAAAGACTCATTAGTGACGCTCGAATCAAAACATTAAAAGTCCAAATAGATAAATTACAAAGTTGAATAGGATCCATAATTCTTAAAGGTTCTACCAAATACATCTAAGTTATGCAGAAACCCTTTTATATGAACAGGTTTCTCTATTGAATTAGATAAATCAAACACAAGTCTCTTGTAAGTACAAAATTTGAACCTCATGTTGGATTTAGTAAATGGCTTAGTATACAGAAAAAAGAAGATAAAATGTCATATCTAGACACTGTAAATATTTGAAAGAAAACAACATAAAACATTTGGGTGAAACCTACTACAGCATATTCTACATCCAATGTTTTTCGATTACAAAGCGTATTGCATTTCTCATCAACGACAAAACATATCGATTGTATTTAAAAACATTTTAATAAACCGTTCAACAACAGAGTAAGTTTGAAAAAAAAAATCATTATTTTAGCAGTCGTTAGACAACATTTAAATAATGTGTGATATTCCAGAATATGTGCTTGCTTTAATCTGAATTTGTCAACTAATAACTGCCCTAGGTAATAAGCATAATGAAACAGGGAATATCAGAAGGACCTTGGACCCATTATAACATTGAATAACACCAGTATTTGAAATAAAATATATATGATATTTTTTTAAACATTTATTTTATTAAAGACAAAATTAGCAAAAACTTCAACAAAAGTCAGGATACGAAATCGATAAACACAAGGAGTGAACCGTTGCGTTGTCCAAGACGAAATAAATCATCAAATGACATGTACAATATAAAAAACTACTTTAAATATTTTTCTGTTTGCATAAATTCTATTTTATTTTAAAAAATACTAGAAAACACAAAATTTTAACACTGATTTGACAAACTTTTGATAATGTCGTTGAAAAATTGTTTGTTCTTAGCGACTTATTTTGCAGCGACTTTCAACCCAGAATACTGTGATATTCAATTCTGCTTAAAAGATTTCAGTTAAATCCCAAATTAATTTCTTAAACGAGCCGCACAACCTCGAATAGCGTTCACATGTATAAAAAAAAACCTTTACTTGTTAAATACTTTTCATCTTTAAGTTGTCAAATTCCACAATAACACTTAATAACACAATCATGAACGCTTATATTCCCACAACTTAAATCTAAATACTTACAAAACGGTTGTTGAATTTGGAATTTCAGACGGAACTGTCGTTAGACCTTTTAATCCGCAAAAAACAGTAGAGCCATCACAAGAACATGCTTCAGGGCACCCTAAGACTGTACTTTTAAAGACAGTACATATAATTAAAAAAATGGTTTGTCGCATTGTCGCTTTAATTTACCTGCAAACAAATAATCATTGGACTGTCAGTTTAGTTTGGTTAAATACAATATAAAAGGCAAATGATTAAAAAAATACTTTACTTATATCAATTCACTCAAAATATGACAGTGATGAAGCTATACTTTTATCTCTTCCGTGCAAATAAACTGTTAAAATGATATGAGACAAAACTCTATTAGCAAAAGTTAATTATCCATATAATATGTAATTTACAAACAGCTAAGATTTCCAAGAAAATCTTTTCGTTCAAAACATTTATCCGACTGAAAACGTTCTTATTTTGTTCGTTCATAGAATTTTTAATCAAATCATACACGTAATGACTTATTTGTTAAATAAACACGGAGTATTTCTCGTGATCCAAAAAAGTTTTTAATCCTTGAAAAAAGTGAACGAAACGAATAACATTTTTTTATGAAGGCTTAATACAGAAAATGTGCGTAGAACGGACGGTTAATGCCCAGAATATAAAAAAAACTGTACATATCAAAGATTAGGTTTATCGATGTAGATATATTGAAATTTTAGTTGATGCATATTCTACATCGATTATATATTTGTTATTGGTCATAAACTTTTTCGTCGGTTAACCGTGCGTTTAAACGTACGTTCAGCATAACTATGTTTTTCTCTGTGGGTCTTCCAAAGAGTTCTGATTGTGCACTCCTATTGCTCGACTTGTTTGTGTGCCCATATGGAGCTGCTTACATAAAGAACCTTCTGATCTTTTCTTCGATATTGACAGGGATGGACGACTTCATAGTAGAATATATGACAAAACGAGATGACTACAACTTTCCCATTCAAAACTACTCATTTATCAGCAGTAATAATCCTCCACTACATCGTTTGGCGTCTATTCATCTAAGTTAATACGCTGCACTTGTGCATGTTCACACTTTATGGATTTCATTTACGGAAAGTGTGCTCCTTAAACCAAAAGTGCTCGAACAGAGTTATGAGGAAGAACGATAGAAGTCGATAAAACATCAGTTTTACGGTCACCATCACGAATAAGTTAACCGATACGATGTGTCGACGTGCCAAGTCAATAGCGGCTTGTCTTTTCTCGGTCTTAGATCTTTAGTCGTCTGATATGTAATTTATTTATTTGGTGGGTAAAGGTCAATGTAAACCACGATATTAAATGTTCAACAAAGTAATTTATTTTAATAGGCGTGTATACATATTTCGGCAAAACCACGAAATCCAATATCGACAAATATACATTTGTTCCTCAATCCACGAAATTGGAAAGCACGAAAATAAATGAATCCACGGTAACAAACAAAAACATTGGGAATTGCATTTTCTCCAACAGGAGCCAGACCGGGTTCGTCCACAGGGTAGGTGACTACTACTATGCATGCATCATCCACAATGCAAATTCAAAATCAGTCAGAAATAGCGAATAGGACACAATCGGTAGATTACAAATGTTACAGCCAGAAAATCACCTTTTAATTGTAGCCAACAAAAGACACAAATCAATAATAAAATTTAACAACATTTATTATACACAAGTTTACAAAAAGTATTACACAAAAAGAAATGTCAACTTAACTGTCAAAATATATGTCTGATCTTTTGTCTTTACTTTCTCCGGAAATCTTCTCGGGAATCCACGCAGAATATTACGTCCAATAGGTCACACTTTAGTATGATGTAGTTTGTAAATAAAAGTGTCAATCCAACTGCTGAGAATATTAATGTCTATCGATGTCTATGTCTGAAAGTTTAACTTAAGTGTCTGTATATATATAGTTGTCACGGAAATCTCTAGAACACACTGTAGAAAGGAAACTACTAGAAAACTTTAGAACGGAAACTTCTAGCACAATATTGACGTTCGAATTACGCATTTTTTGTTATGATCATTCTGGAAACATTATGTAAGTAAAATAGAAAGTTCTAATCATTCCTTGAGTGTCTATGATTGTTCCAGTGATTTTAAAACTGCACAGTTACAACATGTACAATACCATTTTGTAAACAAGTACAAATTATGTAAGCATATTATTAGGCCACACAAAAAACAAATTAGGCCAACTAAATAAATATGATAGTTACAATATCATAACACATATCAGACGATTGAAGATCCTAGAGAACAAGCCGCTATTTTTTCCTCAATCCACGAAAATTGGAAAGCACAAAAATAAATGAATCTACAGTATTTAAAATCTTACACATCTATTACATTAAAATTCTGTAATCAACATGCAAATGTGTATGCTAAATTTCTATATACACGTACCAGAATGGTATTAAAGCCCTGATGAATGCAAACATACAGTACTTGCAACCTTAGGCGTTACTACTTTAGCGGTCAGTCAGCAGTTATTGATCAGTCAACTATCAGTAAAATTTGGGTCAAACTTACGTCACCAATCCGTCACACTTACAATGAAAATATTTGACTGATCGGACGGATCGGACGGATTGAACTTTCTGGCGAATTTAACTCAACTACGTCACATGTCGAACTCTTACAAACTACGGAATTGAAGTTTCGTTTTATTTGATTAAAATGGTGCCACGGAAAAAAACGAGTCGTTTACTATTAATCATTCAGCAAAGTTTTCATAAGTAAAAGTTAACGTTTGTTAGAAGAGAAGTGAAATATGCAGATAAAACTAAATTTTATTTTCATTAAAGTATTGCGATTGTCGTTGGTATATAGACATTTCTTTTTATCAAACCCGATGAGTGCTAAACACGGTGTTTATCGCGATTGCAAAAATCTAATAAATATGCCGAAATTGCTCTAAAATATAAAACAATCAAATATTACAAATATCAGTGCATAATTTTCAATAAATAAACAAATATGGTGGTGGGACACTCTAAAAAATGCAAACACAATATAAAGTATATTTTTCTCTTAAATTCATCATATCTTTTGGAGAACAACCTATCCCGATATACAAAAATAATTTAATCACTAATGGTAAATGATTTCCATTAAATGTTAATGAAATGAAGAAATGAATGCATTCTTATTCAATACAAAAAGTTAAAGTATCTGTATCCTTATATTATTACAATTTTATAAAAAATAACTTATCTAAAGACATTTGATATAACTGATTGCAAACAAAAGTGCATTATTTTTGATAAATAGAAGAACTATTGGCATTTTAAAACAATGCAAACAACATTTTATTTTTTTTTTCTGATATTTTTTTTTATATTTTATGAAAAACAACCCATCCTGGAGTAAAAAAAAAAATACAAAAATCTAATGGTTGTTCATGATTTTATTTGAAATAAAGAAATGATTGCATTCATATTCAACAAAAACAAAAGTTTAAGCATCTTTATCCTTATAATATTAACATATCTTAAAAAAACTTATCCTGAGGCATTTAAACTGACTGATTGAAGATAACATTGCATTATTGTTTTTATAAAATGAGGAAATATTGGCATTTTTAAACAATGCGAAACAAAGATTAGTATCTTTTCTCTGATGTTCATCATATCATCGTCATATGAAAAACAAAAAATCCAGAGGTTCAAAAAGTACCTTAATCGATGATGGTGAACGATTGTCTTTTAAATAAAGAACTAATTGCACTCTTATTAAACACACACACAAGTTTAAGCATTTTTATCCTTAGAATATTGACATTCCATAAAGAAATAATTTATCCAGTTGCATTAAGAATGATTGATTGCAAACAACAGTGCCTTATTTTTGATAAAAGGAAGAAATATTGACATTTTTAAACTATACGACAAAAGTTTAGTATCTTTCTGATATTCATCATATTTTTTTTTAAACAATCTATCCTGATGTTCAAAATGTACAAAAATCCAAAGGTGGTTCATGATTAAGAAATATTTGCATTCTTATTCAACAAACACTTAATCATCTTTATCCTTATATTATTCACATTTTATAAAAAAAAAAAACCCTGAAAGATAGGCTTTTAAAATGAGTGATTGCAAAAAATAACAGTGCCTTATTTTTTATAAAAAGAAGAAATATGGGCATTTTTAAACAATGCGAACATCATTTTAGCATTTTTACTGTGATATTCATCATATTTTATGAAGAACAACACATCCTGATGTCCAAAATGTACTAAAAACCAAAAGTGGTTCGGGATTTCCATTGAGATAAAAAAACAATGTTTGTTAACTTAAGTTTAAGCATCATAATCGTTATATAATTCACGTTTAAAAAAAATGATCTTAAGGCATTTAAATCGACTAATTTTTTTTGTAAAGAACGGTGCATTATTTTGATAAAAAAAAAAGAAATATGGACATTTTTAAACAGTGCGAACAAAATTTTAGCATTTTGTCTGTGATACAAATCATAATTTATGAAAAATAACCCATCCTGATGTACAAAAAGTAATAAAAACCAATGGCGGTTTATGATTCCCATTAAATATAAGAAATAATAGCATTCCTTATTCAACACAAACAAAAGCTGAAGCATCTTTATCCTTATATTTAATTCACATGTTAAAAAAATAGAACTCATCCAGAGGCATACACAATTTTAGCATTTTGTCTGTGATATAAATCATAATTTATGAAAAATAACCCATCGTGATGTACAAAAAGTAATAAAAACCAATGGCGGTTTATGATTCCCATTAAATATAAGAAATAATAGCATTCCTTATTCAACACAAACAAAAGTTGAAGCATCTTTATCCTTATATTTAATTCACATGTTATAAAATAGAACTCATCCAGAGGCATACAAAATTACTGATTGCAAATAACAGTGCATTATGGTTAATAAAAAGAAGAAATCTTGGCATTATTGAACAATGGAAACAATATTTTAGTATTTGTTTCTCTGATATTTTTCATTCTTTATGAAAAACAACATATCTTGATGTTAAAAAAGTACTTAAAACCAATGACGGTGTATTTTTTCCATTTAAAAGAAGAAACAATTACACTCTTATTTAACACACCAACAAGTTAAGTACCTGTCTTTGTAAGAATCATGCAGAAGTTGATTCATAACAT